TGGCTTTAGGGTTATGGTTATATCACCACCTCTAGGTCTGACATGCTGATGACAACGCTCCAATTGTGTTTTTGCATTTTCAGTTTCACCCCATTTACAAAAATACCCATGTCAGTGAGCAGGCCTGAAATGTCCGTCCATCCATCCATTTTCATCCGTCTATCCGGTTGGGTCGCGGGGGAAGCAGGCCAAGCAAAGCACCCCAGATGTCCCTCTCCCCAGCAATGCTTTCCAGCTCCTCCTTGGGGACCCCAAGGCATTCCCAGGCAAGATATGTAATCCTCCAGCATGTTCTGGGTCTTCCCCGGGGCCTTCAACCAGTGGGACGTGCCCAGAACGCCAAAAGCGGGAGGCACCACCTCAGCTGACCCCTTTCGACATGAAGGAGCAGCGGCTCTACTCCCAGCTCCCTGCAGATGTCCGAGCTCTTTCATTTCAGCTGCTTGTATCCTCAGCCTGAAATGTGTGATATACAATACGCTGTCCAACTTAGAGAAAGTGGACAAAACGCTGGACAAAAACTGAAAGAAGCTCTAACATTTACAATCATGAGTGTGCAAACTAGCCTGTACTCTTAAGAGCAGCAATCCCAGTCTTATTTCTTTAACACAGATACCAATGAAAGCCCATAATTACAATCTGATAATCTACCTTTAATGTGACGTGATGTTGACAGAAATATTCTCTTCTTTAGAAGCAGATGCTTACCAGCAAAGAAATCTGAACCTGCCATCACTCTCCTGGACCAGCCAACCTCATGTCCATATGAAATCCATAACCCGCTGCAGACTAACAGGCTCACTGCTGCAATACGTACAGCATGCTGCTGCCTGTAATTTACCAACCTGAATTACTCTCATAGATATTGGAAAGCATTTTGCATTTGCGGCCGCTGCACGAGACAGCGTGGTTACAGCACGTCAGATCGATACCCAACCCATAAAGCAGACGCCACGGTCACAGGAATTAACGTGCGTGTGTCTATAAACCATTCAGAAACATAAACATAAACTGAAATCCGTTCTGCAACCACAAGAGATAAAAATGACTGCCACCATTACCAGTCTATATTACACTTCCAGAAAGTTTAGGTACACTCAGGATGTAGTATTAATTTGTTTGGGAAATGCTTACTGCTCTGTGCTGTAATAGGGCTCAGGGGAAGGGATGGGATCCAAGGCCAAACCATAAGGAAGGAGCATCAACAACAACAGCTTAATGATGCTCTGGTAATGGAGCACAAGCGGGTCACTTAGAAAGAGTACTCACTCTGGCTCACTTTGCACACACATGGCAATATGTGCACTAAGGCAGATGCAAATGGGAAGTTGCCAAATACTTGTACGTGGACGCACAAACAAAGAATATATGCCTAAAATATATGAATGCCAGGTCACATCTAGAGGGATGACACACGCAGAAATCATTCAATCCAGGGACTGCAGATTAAAGTTATCAATTCTGGTGCATTCACATCATAACAAAGTCACCTAATGTGCTTGTTTCACAGCAGCCGTACACACGCGCGCACAGACACAGACACAGCCTCTTCCCTCTCAGACTGTTCGCTCTCAGCCCACCAAACCTTTTAACTGCAATGGTTTTTAATGTGTTTTAATGTGTCTGAGATGTTTAACTGTAAGGCCATCATTTGGCTAAGTAGCCTGCTGCACTGCGCACACAGAAGGGAGGGGTTAGAGGTTTCACTCGCTGACAGTAAACAAATCTAAATAATTCAGAGGGAGAAATTAACATTTTATTTATTTGTTATTTATCAATTACTGTTTCAGGGATCCGATGTCTGTGTGTGTCAATGTGTGTGTGTGTGTGTGTGTGTGTGTGTGGAAGGAAAATGGAAACAACTGTGGGTCTTAGAGGTGGAGTTACAGCGAGATAGGATTTATCAGACTCCCTATTTGAGAGGCAGTTTCTCCTTTGAATTTGAACGTCACTACTTTGGTTGTGACCGATAAAACATTACAAAAAAGACTTTTTAAATGCAGGTTATGGTGTCCGAAATGAGTCAGGGTCAGAACTGAATGATCTTGATGCAAAAAATGTTCTACACTCAACACCAAGATGGATATGGCTAAAATAAACATAAGAACAGGAGGAGAGTTTTTGTGGAGAGATAAGAGCAAGAAACAATAGACGAGTTCAACTTAATGAGAACAGCTTCTCACTCAGAGGTCTGTCATTAATGTGCTTCTACCTCCCTCTACTGACTATTAGAGTGTATTACAAGTGGCACAAGTAATGCAATCTACACTCATACAAGTACTGTTTTTACTGCTGATCTACTCACACACAACCATCTCTAGGGTTTACAGAGGATGGTCCCAAAAACAGAAAATATCCAGTGAGCCAAAATGCCTTGTTGATGCCAGAGGTCAGAGGAGAATGGCCAGACTGGTTCAAGATGATTGAAAGGCAACAGGAAGTCAAATAACCACTGGTTCCAACCAAGGTCTGCAGAAGACCATCTCTGAAGCAACAACACCTTGTCCAACCTTGAAGCAGATGGGCTACAGCAGCAGAAGACCACACCAGGTGCCACTCCTGTCAGCTAACAACAGGAAACTGAGGCTACAATTCACACAGACTCACCAAAACTGGACAATAGAAGATTGGAAAAACGTTGCCTGGTCTGATGAGTCTGGATTTCTGCTGCCACATTCAGATGGTAGGGTCAGAATTTGGCGTCATGGATCCATCCTGCCTTGTATCAACGGTTCAGGCTGCTGCTGGTGGTGTAATGGTGTGGGGGAGATTTTCTTAGTACCAACTGAGCATGGTTTAAACACCACAGCCTACCTGAGTATTGTTGCTGACCGTGTCCATCCCTTTATGACCACAGTGTACCCATCTTCTGATGGCTACTTCCAACAGGACAACGCACCATGTCACAAAGCTCACATCATCTCAAACATGACAATGAGTTCACTGTACTCCAATGGCCTCCATAGTCACCAGATCTCAGTCCAATAGAGCACCTTTGGGATGTGCTGGAACGGGAGATTCACATCATGGATGTCATCATGTCAATATGGACCAAAATCTCTGAGGAATGTTTCCAGCACCTTGTTGAGTCTATGACACCAAGAATTAAGGTAGTTCTGAAGGCAAAAGGGGTCCAACCTGGCACTAACAAGGTGTACCTAATAAAGTGGCCAGTGAGTGTAAATTGCAACCCTACCTAATATGTCTGTGGGACTGTGGTCATCCCTTAACATGAGCTGTTTGTGTATGTCAGTTGTTTGTGTGAATTAAAGGAGTAATGGGGGTGTTACAGTGGGAAAAGCTTAGCTAACACTGAGCAGTTTTAGTCTTACCTTTAGCTGTTAGCATGACCCCATGAAGCATCCAGACCAAAGGTGTTTCCTTTAAGTTTCACTGTTAAAAGTGAAAAAAAAATCAAAAGTAAAAGATATTTGCTTGAACAGACACCTCTTCACATATGAAAAAGAGATAGTCACAACTCTAGAAAGAGCTCCCAGTTAGCTTAAACTAAGTGTCTACTCAAAATGCCCGCGAAAACTGCCTCCATCTTCCTCTACACACCTGGTTCCCGCTGACCCAAATAATTAGTAAGCCCCGCCCCCTGCCAGACCGCCATTGGTAGATCAGTGATAAAGGTAAACACACCTCAAAATACTCAGTGACAGAGACACGTTTAAATTGGCATGTTCATGACTGAACTTAATTTACTGCTGAACTCTCTGTTCTCTTTAAAACTTATTTAAATACACCCCTGGTGTGAAATTAATTTCTCTTGTTTTATCCTAATGTCCATTCTTATTCTATTTATTGTGAGATTTTGTATTGATATTATCATTTACTTCTCAGCTTTTGTAAAATGTCATTCATCTCCCGATGCAACTGATGTCATGAGCTCTCCTGTGTTGTTGTGTACCTGAGGTCATTTGTATATTATAAAAAAATAAATTAGCATATAGTTAGGGTCTCATGTTTTCATTTTTATTCCATTTAACTATCTATTTTCATTTTTATTTATTTCATTTTATTTAATAATATTAGTCAAATTCTTCTTTGTTATTTGTGTCGTGTCGTGTCGTGGGATTTTTTTGACCCGCCCATAAGCCACAAATATTTTTGCTCGAGCCTCCCTGAGTGACTCGGCAAAAATGCATGACCCTCCCTCCATCATAAATTAGTTGTTTGATTTACTTTTGATTTTTGAAACTTTTAAGTTTAACACAAAATCCTGGAGTTGAAAAAAGCCTCAGTTTTTCCACTCTTGTCGTGCATGCTGGTTAGTTTGTGCAAACGGTTAATTTTCTGCCAAATTTTAAAAGAGACATGTAGAATAAAGGTATTTCAATGAAATGTCACTATTTTAATCTCAGATTTGGTTGGGTTCTTTTCTGATGGAAGTGTTCGTCCCACATAATGTGTTCAAGGACCGTCAGAAATTTGAAAATCCAACAATAATTTCTGTTTTTACAGTTTTCTTTGGCATGTTTCCTATAAAAAGTTAAGTAAATACAAAATACAACCATTTAAAGTTGTATGCCTCTTCCCTAACTTAGAATAAAAAACATAAGCCCCTCCCCAGTGCTTTAAATTATTTGACTTGCCTCCCCTCTCAAAAATAACGAACAGTCCCTTATTGTGTGTTTTGTCTCTCTTTACGCAATTGAATTAAACTCAAAATACTATTCTTAACATGATATCAATCACAGTTATTGTCAATACCGGTATATATTGACACCTATGGCTCGTATGATAAGATAACAAAGCACCATGTACATGTTAAACAGAGGATAGAGACTGTTAAACACATGGTAAACTCATGGTTTGTCATCGCTTAAAGTAAAAAAAGACTGTCCTTTCCGAGACTTGCAAACTGCCCTGGTTGGCAACAGTGTCATATGCTATCCTATGTCACATCAACCATGTGCCTACTTCACCTATAAGTTGTGTTTTGAGTCATAGAAAACACATCAAACCACTTAAGACATGCAGCACAGGACACAATGTTCAGTTGAATTAAAACAGCTTTATTAGTGTACACTGTAAGAAGTTGACTGTATATGTAGAATAGTTGGAAAGCCTATGAAGATCGTCATCAGTGTTTGAAGAAGACAGAAATCCTAACAGCTTTGTCGTCTAATGGAATACGCTCCGTCGATAGCAAGAGAAAGGAACAGCATGTATGGTAAAATAAAAGTACAACTATACAATAACATCACTAGTGACATGTAGAACCTTCACCGTCTCCAAAAAGCCACCTTCATAGGAGTCCGTCAGAAAGAGGCTTGTTTGGGGATACACAATTGTCATCACAATAAGAAAAAAAAAATACAATATGTCATCTGTAAATAGGAATGTGGACCCTCGAAATGTGTCGATGTCGCCTACATGAAACCTCGTTTGGTCTCGTCATCCATGTCTAAAACAGAATTCTCAAGGAGTGAGAACAGCTGGTTGGTTTCTGGGTACGATGTCGGGTGGCACTCATTTAAAGAAACAAAATAAAGTTGATACAAAGGCTGTTGCTGGACGCTGGCGATATGCAGACACCAGCATGTCTAGCCATCAGAAAATACACTACAGAGGAATGTGTTCAGTCCGAACGATTTGATGTCACTGCATAGAACGAACGTGGGTTAGCAATGATACAACAACCTTAAAGGTAACACTATGTTTTCATGTCCTGTGTACTGACCTTGGCAAAGTCCAGTCAACTATTTACCCTATTAAATGAAAAAGACCAGCGAAAAGGCGGGACAGACGGGTGGACAGGTAGATACACACAGAAAAAGACGAACATCACTGCGTTTGGCTGGTTATAAGTGATAAAAATTTGACCCAATGCTTGCTGAATGAAGCAAATACAGTCCCTAAAAAAGTATGCTTATGATTTGCAGAGTCAAACCAACCGCAGGATTTTTTTTAAAAGTGTGAATCTTTCAGTTTGGTCCAAGTGCTAACATACACCACCCTGGAGGCGGGGATGTTACCTATCGAGTGTCAACCTCAAATCTTGATTTCTGCAGGATGCTGACGGTATGTTTAAACATCAGGATTTACGGACTTCTTATCTTCTTATTATATGATAAACTTCATTAAACCGTCATTTGGCATTCTACGACAACCCAGTCTCACTCCGAAGTCGTCAAAATCTGGCGCTTGGGCAGTGACTTGTGGCGTCAGACACTGACGAAAAAGCTGTCTTTTAACATCGGCATGATACGTGGCCGATCACTGTTATAGTTTAATGGCACTTAGCCGTATCAGAGAAAAATGCTGCGGGATATGAACTAAAATTAAGGCAGCAAGTCTGAGTAGGGAGAGTGGGTGGGGTGGTGGATGGGTCCAACAAACACAGACTTTCACCCAGGAGAGCATTGTTCGCATCCCATAGATTATAAAGCCACACCTTGTTCTTTTTTCCAAAAGTCGATGTTTGTGTGCCCAGACCCAACAAACACCAACATTCACCCAGGAGAGCGGTGTTCGCGTCCCCTAGATTATAAAGGCCATAGATTATAAAACCAAACCCTGTTCTTTTTTCCGAAAGTTGGTGTTTGTTTGCCAAACAGACACTGCAAGATACACGGCCAGTCGCCATTATAGTTTGACGGCATCAGGGGGAAACACAGCGGGATAAGAACTTAAATTAAGCCAGCGAAAGTCCGAGAACGACGAGAGGGACTGGTGGTGGACATCCCATGAGATTATAAAGCCAAACTCAGTTCTTTTTTCCTAAACCCAACCACGTGCGTGTGTTGTTGGAGGGAAAAAACATCAATTTGCGATATTTTACCGACATAGTGTGTTCTTTTTGAAAGAGACTGTATGTAATCGGTAAATTTCCTGTGAAAACAGAAGTGTATTTTGAAAGAAAACAATGCATGTAACAGGCAGAACTTGACACGGCGTCCCAGAATGCCAACAACCAACACACCCAGGGTACCTTGCACATCGCATGTGGACGTGGAAAGTCCATGACGAAAAGTCGATACCTGACGAGGTCGGAGTGATAATGTGTCTTCTACAATAAATCTTTGAACCAACATTTCCCCCACATGTTACAGTAATCAAACAGAAAAACGTGAACGTGTTTACATGCACACCGGCATTAATTAGCAACAAGTCAAGACCAGTCAGGTTCTGTCAAAGTTTGAAACACGTCAAACAAGCGATCTGGAATGTGACAGTATGAGCTGAGATACTGAGGCCACCGAGTCCAGTTTAAATACATTTACTTGCAATCCCAGCTGATGCATTGGGATACACTTGAGGAATACATTTGAGAATAAAGACGCGTTGAATGGGACATATCATGTGTGCATGTTAACACGCTCACTGTAAATTAACAGTGTACAACCACATATATGGAGTCATGAGAATCAAACATCTGCGGAGCTGCAGCAGCTTTTGCAGCACGTACTGGAATGTCCTATGTTGCTAAAGTAAGACAGATTCACCTTCCAAAGTCAGAGCTTTCCAACTGAATATCATCTGCTTTGATACTGGAAAATAATACTGCATTGCTCAGCTGCTGAATTAAATCCTAACATCTCCAAAAATCTGAATTTTGTTTAGTTTTAAACAGAATTATTTTCTAGTGACCATGGCATACTGATAGATAAACAGGTATCTTGATTCATTCATTCAGTTCTGGAACCGCATGTTCAAGGGCAAGAGGTGGGGTACACCCTGGACAGGTCGCCAGACACCTACGGCCAATTTAGAGTCGCCAATTAACCTGGATGTATTTGGATTGTGAGAGGAAACTGGAGCTCCCGGAGAAAACCCACGCTGACATGGGAAGAACATGCAAACCCACTGCACCACCATGCCGCCATGAGAGCTTGATTTGTGACTAAAAATTTACAACAAACTACACCCCAAAAAGTAAATTGGCAAGTTTAAATATTAAGTCAATAAATTTGGTATCAGAAAACTGAAGCTGTTAGGTTTTCATCAGCAATTAGGTTTATGACACAGTGGATCTGCAGTGTACAGGGCATACTGTAAAATGTAATACATGCATTCAGTCTTTGGGACAGCACTATCATAATTCAGGTCACGCCCTTTAGGCTGAAAAAAAATCCTAAGAGTTAGACAAGAAATTACCTTTTTCAACAGCTGTAAAAGCTGATAGATTCCAAAATTCACTGGCCAAGAAGAAAACAGAATGGGAATTATGATGGCTCGGCCTCTCGGTCACCAAATCCAAACTGTGGTAAAGTCAGTGAAAATGTTCCATCCTATGCTACATACTTCATAACTCATCATCAAGCTGTCGTTTCAAGCCGAGGGCATATTCTAAAAAAATACTGAATTCTAATAAAAGGGAAGAAAGCTTTGAAGATCTTTAAATATATTCATATGTAAAAAATACACGATACAAAAATGTAGCTAAAAGAATGTGTAAAGAAAATAGCTGTGTCGTATAACTAGCTTGTCAAATACTTAAAGCTTAAATACTTACGATTTGGGACTCTACAGTACCAGCGTAGGTACCAGCTGGCTTTTAGATCAGGGAAAGGAATTTTATTAAAATCAACTGAATTTAACAATCTTTAATAAGCCAATTTAGACAATATATGCAAAAAAACTCTTAAAGTGAACATTCTTAAAAATATGGAAGATATTTTTTGTAATTGCCGTGACTCCACTTGGGCTTTTCAACATTCCTATCTGTACATTTCAAAGCATATCTCGCTGTATTTTACATCAAAGGCAACTTTCTTGTAGCGATATCAAGTGTGCATAATTTGGGGCAGTGCAACAACAGTATAGAAGCCGTTTTTTGTTTTTTTGTTTTTTTCAAAGTCCCACACTGCGGGAGTTGTCTTCCTATCAATAAAATGTCAATAATGGAGAAAATCGTGCATCAGTCCAAGCATATAATCGAGAGAGACTTGCTCAATGTCTGCATCAGTGAAATGTAAGTGATGGTATTTCTTTCTTTTAGACAGCAGGGGGCGGCACTGAGGCTTAGATTCTTGAACTGCATTATACTGAGTCCTAGTCCTACACGTCTCCAAGTCCAACACTCTCCTTCATAAGCATGATGATATAATTGTAAAAAGTTAATAAAGAGGGTGTAAGAGAGAGCGTAAGAGTGTGCAGGGGCAGAGAGTCAGTGCAAATGGTTGGCCCGCAAAAACTAGAAGGGGCAACCTGGTAACTGTGGTTAACTACTTTTGCTTTTGTGGTTTGTATGAAGTTCAAGAAGACGGACATGTCCTCCACTCTTGCACTGTGATTTACTTAGCTTACTCATTCCAGTTATCTATGCTGGTTAGCAGCTGTTTCAGCTCTGATCCGAACATCTACCCCTCTACACACTCATGGTTGAATGGGACCGGTTAAACACACACAGGAAGTTATTTGTCCTCATGTGAAAGATAGCGAAGGTTTGTTTGTGTTACAGTGTACAGGTGTGTGTGCATCTAAAGGGTATGTTATATTGATTCTAGACATCAACTTGGTCTCCCAGTGGTCACCCCTTTCAGAGCTGAAGACCGTCGTTCCGGCGTAATCATGTCCGTGATCACGACGACACAGGAACTGATTAGGAGAAAAGCAAGAAAATCTCAAGATAAAAATGGAAGTTTGGTCACCAAAACCAAGAAAGAAAATCATATCCAGGCGTGGAGTTGACTTTGGTTGAGCCTGGAGTGGCAGTACTACTGTTGGTCAACCTTGTGTAAACAGAAATCTTGAATCAAAGTTGTGCTGTAGTAGGTAGGTAGTGGAGCAGGAAGGTGGACTCACGGTTGGAGAGACTGCCCTTAGCCAGAAGGTCTTGCACGCAATCCCCCAAAACAGCCGCTCTCGTATCATCGAGCAGGACAGTGAAGCTCTGTCGGATCAGAGCCTCAGTCAAATACCAAAAAAAAAAACATGAATGCAGTCTGGTCCATTATGACATCACTCTCGACATTTGGTATTGCAGAGTGATTTCAATTACTAGGTCCATGATTACTGGAATGTCATCTTAATCCAACAGAGCCGAAGGTGGTCAGGCCCACATTGACATCATTGTTAACACTGTCCATCAGCGATGTCATTCTTCCATCCTCCAGGTCCTTCGTGTGATCCTTTTTTTTCTTGATGCTAATGTTAGTGCCTCAGTTTAAGACTGCACCGTGGTCTTCCTCAGGACATACTGGTCAAATGTTGTGACATGACAGTTTGTGAATTTGCGCAGGCAGCAGCAGAACCCTGTTTAGGACATACTGGAGCAGCGCACTGATGGTGAACCCATCTGGGTCAGCACCTTATCCAACCACTGGAGGGGGCCGTTGAGATGCAGCTCAATCCAACAGGGAGTGCTGGTTACTGTCTGACGTCTGTGGGGATAAAACACAGAATGAGGGCTAAGGCTCAATAATAAACACATCTTACAAGTTAAAAAAAACAAGCAGCAATGTATCATCTTAAAGTCATCATCAGTGCAAGTCTCTACATGTGTGTGACCACTAAATCAGACTGAATATGCCAGCTTGAACAGGTGTGTTTTCAGACGGGATTTGAAGGTGGAAAGGGAGTAAATATTGTGAATGTCATGAGGGACAGAATTCCAGAGGCCAGGGCACAGAACGGCTCAAGGCTCTAGAACCCATGGTAGTCGAGCAGGCAGATGGCAATGCGAGTTGGATTGCAGACGAGGAGGATCTGAGAGTACGGGTTTGAGTTCAGACAGGTAGGAAAGGGTTGGATTACGAAGGGCCTTAAAAGGTGAGAAGTAGTCTTGAAATCGATGTGATCTTTAACAGGAAGCTGCCGGGGAACACCAGTGATATGATCTATGGAGGGGGTTGGGCTGAGTTCTGGACCAATTGGTGTTTATGAGGACACTTGAGAGGGAGACCAAAGAGGACAGGATTGCAATAGTCAATGCAGGATGTAACCATAGAGTGAACGAGGATAGCCATGTGTGAGGTGTAAGTGACGGGAGAGGACTATTAATATTATGTAGATGAAAGTATGCAGGTCAAGTAACATTATTGATGTGGGCCTCCAAGGACAACGTACTGTCTACGATGACACCTAGACTCTTCTTCTTCTTCTTACTGTCATGATTTCAATGTGCACGCAGCACTAACTTCAGGTAGCCAGCTGGAAGCAGACCAGTTACTGCTTGAGTATCATGGGAGTTAAGTAAAACAGAAAAAAAAGTAGTAGTAGTAGTTAAAAAAAATCTCCCAAAATAAACACTACGTGGTTGATTACTATAAAGGGCGCATTCAGACCAGGATAGTCCGGGGGACTCGGTTCGATTGGGCAGGTAATGCCGAAAAACTTCACACCTTCATTTGGTTCAGTTCACTTTCACACTGCACTTTTTAAAGTGGACCAAACTGCCTGGAAAGCGGGGGCGGCTTGGGGGAGGTATTGCCCGAAACGAACACTGACCAGGAAGACAAAAAAGCATGAGGAAGAAGAAAACCCAGCTCATCGATTGGCCAGGACCAAAAACGGAAATCCATAAACTAACCAGCAATATATAGTCCTCTGACCATATATCAGTAAGTGCCTGCACCTCCTCACCACTCCACGTCTGCCCACAAGACATTTTCAAATCTTTTTATTTATTTTTTTTACCTCTGCTTCTCCTGGTTCGCAATGTTGGCTTTGTTTTTTTCTACCCAAAATGCACTGCGCCCTACATCACTTCCTCTCTTTGGTTCACTTCCTTTTTTTGGTTCACTGGATAGTTCGTTTGCATTTCCCACTGTAAGCGAACCTCACCAAGACCCGCAGTTTTCAAGTTAACCCTTGGTCCACACCAGAGTTCGAATGAGCATTCACACCATTCCAAACGAACTGAACTATCCATGGAAGCGGACCAGGGTTTGTTTAAAGTGGACCAAATAGTGCCTCAGACCAAGGTACATGTACAACTGGTGGTGCGCAAGCTCTCTCTAGTGGTAAGAGAAGGAATTGCCACAATATTTTTTAAAAAAAATAATTAATCTAAATATGTACTGCTATTAAAATACTACAACATTTTAATCAAAAAAACTTATCACTATGATATCAGCATGCTATGCAGTCAAGTTCATGAGGGCCTATTGCCTTTGTGGAAGAGTTTAAGTGCCAGTTCTAGTGCTGCCCCTTTGTACAGTCAACATTAAATAATCCTCTGGTGAGGAGTAAACCTGCCTCCTGCGTAACCTGCCCTTAGCTCACTAGGGTAGGCCGACACACTGTATTTAATGTCTGTCATAGTGGTGATACATGGAGAGCCTCATCTTTTCAAAGGTGGTATGCAGTTTAAGAAGTTTGAGAACCACTGCTACAAGCTAATTACAGCATTTGTACAGGAGTGATTCTGTCACTGTCATCGTGATCACCATGAGTGGTTTCCACTGTATGTAACAGAAACAGTATTAGTGAGTACAAGAAGAAGCAGTAGCAGCAGCACTGTTAATGGTGTAAGAAGAGTAAGAGCACTTTTTGTGATTTACTGCAAATAGAAAATGAATGGGAGCTTGCATCGCACAGGTCTGAGCAGATGATCAAACACAGCTGACTACACTGCGGTCCTGCCAGGCTTGGTCTGGTCTCTACAGACAGTGGAGACGCTGACTGCTAACCAGACAGGCTACACAGCAGCTTAACCCCGGCCAGTGAGGACAAGCCAAAACACCCCCACAAACACTGCAGTCTGGCTCCTGGGAGGGTGCAGCACAAAGCGGAGCCAGGAGCAGAACAGATGTTTGCTGGGTGGATGGTTGGAGGGCCGCAGAGATGGAGAGATGCACACAAATGCTCTTTAATCTCTGACATTTGACAACAAAAGGAGGAATATAATGGAGATTATACACATGCGGTGCAGATGAGCGCGTGCACACGCTCTAACAAACCTTTTACCTCGCTTGTTTACACGGTGTACTTTCTCATTCCTGCGGTTTTTATGTGAGGATACACCTGTATTCATTTAACTCAAGTACAAAGAGGAGAGACAAGACAAAAGGAGCGTCCTGTCCTCCTTAACAGAACTCCCATATGTGTGCTCTTTGTGCTAATGAAACAGTATCAGCTTTTATTATGTCATTTCAAATTTTGCACAGGAAGTGGTGACTCAGAATCTGGCCACGTAACCCTTTGGGACCATGCCAAGGTTTGAAGGTTCAGCTGGATTTGGATCCTGAGTCTTTTCATCACTTTTTCCACAACTGATTTCAGTGAAACTACAGACACACAGATTTTTGCTGCAAACATGCTCCTACGATATTTGTAGTTTCACACAGGGCATATGATATCAGCTTGTGAGTCAGCGTTCAGGGCAGATGGTAGAGTTGCACTACACAGCATTTGGAGAGTCTGCAGGCTTTGCCGAGCTCTAGTCAGACCAACAGGAGCTCTGCCAGTCCAGGGAATATTATGGTTAGAATTTTAGATGTTGCCTTTTGCTGGCAGTTTTAAGCTGCAAGTAAGCCTGCACAGGGTAATCTTAAGCACACATGTACAGCCCAAAGAATATTTAAGTGAATAAAAAACTTAAATAACCTTTGATTCCTCTGACATTAAAGTTACCTCCCAACAAAGAAAGAGTAGACCAAACAGCCGCAATACCCAGGAACATATCAATCATGTTAAGTAACAACCAACAGCAGCCACAGCACAGCCTGCAAGCAATCTTTATGTCACCAAGCATCCAGCATGACCTCTTTCACAAGGATGCACAAATAACTTTCCCTGTGTCACTCTCTGATCTGACCAGACAACCTTGACAGAATGATGTGCTTAAGGGCTCATTTATGCTCAAAATTACATAGCCTTCTGTCTGTACTTTGCATTCATTTCGTCCATAATTGTGCCTGTTTTCTGACAGCTTTCAGATTCGGACGGAACGGAGTACTACTGCCAAAAATCTTGCGTACTCCAAGTAAGATATGACCATAGGACATGATGAAGACATTTAAAAATTGTCTCTACGAAACAAATCGATGATACTGTGAAGAGAATTGTCCGTCCACATTCAAACTTTTCACTCTGCCCTCTAGTGCCATCAGATGGACGAATCTATGCCAACCAGGGTCCAAAACTAACTTTTGGTAAGTGAAATTTTTCCCAGCCAAGCAGATATTTTACCAGCCAACCAAATAAAAATTGCTTTTAAGTATTGTAATTTGCTATCAGTATTATTTAGCATGTCATTTGGGTCTTGTATGCGATTCTCAATCAATATTTTAATAGTGTGCACTAATATTAGTAATAATGTATGCTAAAATATGAATAACTGTTTCAACAGTTAAGTGTAATATTTGGGTTAATAAATTCTGTAATATTCTTACTACAGTGCAAAAAGAATCTTTCATTAAGGAATTTTACATGAATCACTGACTTCAGTCTCCTTTGGACAGTTGAGACATAAGATTTTAGCTCGACCAGACTGCAACAGCAGGGCCTGCCCTATATAAACATGAATGTCTGACCAATGGTGGACAAAGTATTCAACGACATGATTTGAGTGAAAGTAAAGGTACTCTTGGTCAAATATTACTCCAATACAAGTGAAAGTTGTTCAGTCATTTTTTTTTTTTTACTTAAGTGAATCTACACCAACTGATTAACATAGTCATTAACATTGTCCTCCACTGACAAGTAAAGAACAGTCGCTAAAGTGCAGTGAGGTTTGTGGACCGTTATCTGCCACAAAGAAAGAAATGTGAACGGCTCGTTTCCCCTCTGACACGCCACATACCTGTGTGCCACCATGGCTTGGCTGTTCAGGTACTTTTGGGCAGTCATGACACCAACAAAAGAGGAAATTATTTGACCTGAAGCCAGGATTCTCCGTCGCCGGTAAGCCATTATCTTGCGCCGCGGAGCACTATGGCCGCCGTATTTGACAGGAATACGTATTCCTGTACGTGTCTGTGTCTGTGACCCCCGTTCAACCCACAACCGGCGGGATTCGCATTTTGTCCTGCTGCTGGTTGAAATTTGTACTCGCACAGCGTGCTCCTGAATGATTTCTTTTGCTCACACAAAACTATTTTTAGTCGCAAATGCATGTGACGCACTTAACGTACGTGACCAAAGATCGTCTCTGCCTGAAATACACATTACTCTGCCAGGAAACCAGCCGATACCAGCATCATTCTCCAGTAACAGAAAAATGCATTTTTCGCTGTTAAAAAAATAACTCGCCAGAGTGGCGAGTGGTCTTAAAAATTTACCAGCCAGAGACAAAATCTACCCATAATTGGCGAGTGGCGACTGTTAGTTTTGGACCCTGATGCCAACATAAGGCAGAATTTATACTTCTGCGCTCATTCGACGCCATACCTACGCAATTAGCTCGGCATCTACGTAGAGCCTACGGCATAGCCTGACGTGCACCTCCCCAGAAATGTAAATTCACATCACAGCAAACAGACCTCCAGTCTGTTTCTGTAAGCTGAAACCATTTCCCTCAGTGGAAACAAAGCTTTTATTTACTTTAATTTCACAGATAAGAAACAATAAATTGTGAAGACAATAAAGCCTCCACAAAAATAGCATTTTAAGTCTTGTGTGTGATTTATCCTGGCTTCATATGAGCAGAGGAAATCTCTGCTGGTCGCTAGGCTAATTTATACAATGTAAAATGCCATAGGCTCGTGCTAATAACGTTAGCATGTTACATTTGTTTGGAAAACGTGTTTAGTATAAGACAGTTGTTTTGTCAGTGAACCTTGTGACTTGTGATGGTGCCGAATTTTGTAACGTTACCTTTGTTAAATGTTGCTGTTGCCCCAGGCCTTATATGAGTAGAGGAAATAGTCTGCTAGCTGCTAGGCTAATTTATACAATGTAAAATGCCATAGGCTTGTGCTAAAAACATTAGCATGTTGTATTTGTGGGGAAAATGTGTCCAGATAAAGACAAGTGTTTGTCTGTGAATGCTGCGAGTTATAGTGAAGCTGACTTGTGTACTTGTGTTTGAAATTGTCTCTATTAAGCCATGTTTAATGTGTGTTTAATGTGTGTTTTGAATCAACTAGACTTTACAGCACTTCACTGAAACCTCTGCCGCCGACTAGTGTTTTGGAGATGTAACTGCAGAGTGACACAGACACACCACCGCACAAGTATAAATCCCCCTTAAAAGGACACATGTAAGTATGTGGGCAGTGACATTGAAAACATTTGAAATGAAGATATCAATATTCACACATAAATAAAGTATAAATGAGCCTTAGGAGCGTAACATACCTGTACTCTGCCCCCCAGCCCTTGACGAAGCTCATTCTGATGGTGCACATCCTGGTTAGTTGGTAGACTGCCTCAAACCCCTGATTGACTGACTGGGCCAGCAGCGCAGCAAACTCCTGGTTGTTAAAAATCTTCAGATTACAGCCTGAAAAACGATGATGACAAAGAAGTATAGGTTAGAGAGAGTTAAATCAGACACAGAACACTTTTCTTTGTCTTGGTAGAGAAGAGTGGACAGGGAGAACACTGTGGACAGCAATGGAAAGATGTGAGTGATTTCAAAACCAGTGACTTAAAAAGTGATTTAACGTTGCCACTTTTGTGACAGTAATTTCAAAGCACAAAGCAGATGTCTTGTGAAGTGTGGGTGTTTGTATGTTGGTGATTATTCTCCACAGGGCTGACAAGTCCGACCCCTGGATGTTTACAAGATCCCCATTTTCTCTCAGTACAATTCTGTGTCTCAGTAATGATACTGTTCACACTGCTCATTTGGCCAGGAATGAAGCGTTGAAAGTTACATGGGCAAAGATGAGTCAGTGCGTGTGGGTGAGAGTCTGAGAAAAACTGTCACATTGTGGAGGGCATTAGTGCTCTTCCTCAAGCTTCACTTTATCAATACCAGGTGGAAAAAACTCATACCCACAATAGGTAGTGTTTCAATAGGAGCTCAAACCCTGTTTTAAAATAATTGTCTAAACAGCAGTTATGTGTTACTATCAAACCAGAGAGGAAGCTTTTTGTCAGTTGTGTATCATCCATCTGGCTCCAGAGTGAAAGGAGGAAACACTATTTATGTGTACAAACCTGGTGGTATCTTGCAGACTGTGGCAGGGTGCCAGCCGTATCGCTGGTTGCAGTTGGGACTCTGGACAAAAATGGCACTGTCACTGAGGCACTCGGCGAACACCTCCCCTCCAATGTAGTACAACCTTACACCACGACCTGCAGAGTGTGAGACAGGAGAAATGTGAAGGAAAAAAGGAATGAGGAGAAAGAGAGGAAGACATAAATCATGAAGAAGAAATCCTGAATTTTGTGCCATAGAAGTATCACATTTATTCAGCTGTATATCCATCAATCCATCATCTGTAACCGTTTATCCTTTACAGGGTCACAGGGGGCTGGAGCCAATCCCAGCTGACACTGGGCAAGTGGCAGGGTACACCCTGGACAGATTGCTAGACGACCACAGGGCTGACACATGAGGCCATTACGACGGCTTTGCTTTTTCACACAAAACCAATCAGTCGATCCAATCAGAGCTGATCAGATCAGATGGATGGATGAGAGGAACAGCTGTTTGTGAGTGAAAGCAACCTTTGGACCCAGGCACTGAAGGTTAAGTTTCACTCTTACTGTGCCTGCTCCGTCTATGGAACAAATAATAACCAAACAGTATATGTATATATTCCAATAGCTCACCTAATGAGCGATCCAGCACGAAAAATAGAAAATGGAAACATGGCGACAGATGTTTTAATCGTGGCACACAGGCTTCATGCTGCCCCAGTGTGTTATTTTAGACAGCATGTGGCTTTCCAGAAGATGTGTGACAGGCATGATATGTTACAACAGCATCACTCTCTAGTGTGACATGTAACATTACTAACATTTCTAAACAATACCAGTGGCATAACATAGCAATTATAATCATTTGCCGCCCCTATTATATGGCGGCTGATATCGTCCCCTGCTTGGAGGGTAAGGAACTCCCGAACCTATACGTCTCTGCAATTTGCAGACGTTGTCAGTTGCTATTCTTCCTCTTTGAGTTAGCTGCTAACTGCTTTTTAAATCTCTTGGTGGTAGGTTGCACACATAACACATCATCAAAACGTCATTTTTATGCAGATGTTGAAATGGGGCTCAGCTGCCCGCTTAAAAGGTGAGACAACCCTGTGCGTCCATTCCATGTTGATACTTTTTGTACAGAACAACGAGGCAGAATAACGTTGTAACAGTCCCACCTTGGACAGTCAGTGTAAAAAGGGCTACAGAGGCAGACCACCATTCACACTCACATTCAAACCCACAGGCAAATTAGAGTCAACAATTACCCTAAACTGCATGTCTTTGCATTGTGGGAGAAAACCCACACTAACACGTGGAAAACATGCAAACTCCACAAAGAAGGGCCTAAACCTGCCAGCAACAGTGCTGGCCACTGCACTACCATATTGCCCAAGTGTATTCTTAACAACATTTTAAAATCTCTGACCTACTGTATTACATCTCAGAGCCTTGACCTTTCATGATCCCCAAAGACACCACCATCTCTGCTCCACAGACAATAAGTGATAGGTTTTTGTATGTAGAAGTGCACGTACACGTACCTATATGTCTCCTTGTCATTTCAACAGTTGCGTTCCTGTTAACATTGCTGAGAAGCCCTAGACAGAAGCGCTCGGAGTTGGAGGGGTCGGTGAAGCCATCGACCGTCAGCGACGGCTGTGAGGCGTGGAACGTCTCTCCCACCCGCTGGTTTAGCTCATAGTAGGCTATCGAGCACCAGAAAGCGGGTTCACTGTAGGTGACGGGCTGAAGGTCTGAAAAAAAATCAAGGAGGACATTTTACACAAATCTGACAGCTTTTCCAGGCCCGAATTTGTGGACAACATTTTAAGGTAGAAGTCAATTTTCAGTATGGCAAATGACAGTGTTTTCCAACTATTAGAACTACCTTGACTTTACATTAGTCTTACCCAGGCCATGACTGACAGGTGACAGGGTGCTGGGTGACATTTCTGCTGGTGAGCCTGGGAGAGAAAAGACACATCACATAACACCGTTTTGTCATCTGTTTTACATTTAATGTATAGATTGAGCTTGATTGATCTTCTGACCTTTAAGGCAGAATGCGCACTAGCACAAAACTCAACTAGTCTACCTGATTCCATACTTTGATTCATCTGTTGGTCGCTGGTCTCTCCATCTTCACTGATGTAGCCAGGTGGAGGAGTCTCTGTGAAAAGGTAGCACAACCACACAAAGAAACAGTAAGAATACCTTTTAAAAAACACACTGATGCATAGAATGAGAAACGCTGAAGTTACTGTGTGTTCCTGTAAGTCTACATTAAGGTTAGGCGTGTACGATGGCGAGAGCTCTCAATCTCGACCCCAGCCCGACGGGTCCCAAAAAGGATAAAGGGTTGATCTGGGTTTGGAGCTCAGTATTTAATGTGATGACCTCAGATTGCTGGGGTTCAGGCTTCAACTCACAGCGGTCGTTTCAGTTCGGGTTATAATTTATTCTGCCCACTGAGAACTCTAATGATGACATGTACGGAAGGAACAAGCACCACAACTTTCTAGTGAAGGCAAATCTAGTTATCTTGTACGACAGCTAAGGTAAGGAGTGAACACAACCCTGCAAACACACCTGGTATATAGTTATTCGGAGGGTCTATGCCGGCAGGGAAGTTGGTGTTTTCAGGGATGGAGTTTGTAAAGTCATCTAGAGGAGGAAGCTCTGTCAGAATCTCTGTGTGACGAGGCACCAACACCGGAGGCAGCACTGTGGAGATAAGAAAGTGTCACTCAAGACTGCATAATTAAATGCAATGTGCTCATGCAATAATATTCTGATTCTTATACAGACACACACACCAAAACACAGAAAAACAAATACTTTAGACTGGTTTCCACTACACAAAATGGCAAAACTAGAAGTGATAATAAAACTCGTCACAGAAACTTGCACAAATAGACATTCGCAGTTCCTGAGAGTCATTACCAGGCGTCTCCACTCTCTGGTAGTGGTAGGGATTGACACACACTTCATCCTTTTTGAGGTTGAAGGCGAACTGGCAGGAGTCGATGGCCCTCAGCTCGTGGTGGCTGTGAAGGTCGGGCCATCTCCACAGGCGGCAGTAGATGACGTGTGGCAGGCCCTTACGATGGGACACCTGGAGACGTCCATCCAACGACCTGAGTGGTTGGGAAAGAGGAGAGGTCATGGCTCAGAAATGTGCCCGAGTTTTGACAGGAGACAATTAACGAACGACCACGTGACCTTAGAATATGTTTTAAAGATGGCGTCTCTATACATTCAGCAAAGTCTGAAGAAGAGCATTCAGCTCGAAACGTCACTTGTGGATGTGCTAATAAATTCCACTTAAGGGTCAGTGTGCAGATGTTTTTTCATGTATTTTATTGGTAACCAAGAAAGGCCATTAACTGGCCAACCAGTGGAGTTCAGGATGCTGGTTATGTTTTATGGCTAACTTTATTTTATGAGACTCATCAGCACAGTTGAGAAGAGCCATTGCACAATGTCCATAAACTACCGCTCTGAAACTAGCACCTTGGAAAACTCATCTTCATTAAACTCAAAGCATCTCTATAGATATCACCACGTAACTCGTCTGAATTTATTTAGCTCCATTATTTCCTAATTGGCTGGATTATATTGAGCATTATTACATTAGTGACAGTGATAAGGTTTGCTGTAATGTAATCGCCTCTCATAATTCTGCCTGGAAGTCTTTGGGAGATCTTAAATAAACCAATAAGTGTCCACAGTCAGAGTGTAGTGATACTGAACATCACAGAATGAAAGATGATCATTAAAGCAACATGTGCGGAAATCTGCGGGAATAAAGAGATGGATAGAGACAGCTGACTCATTGTGTGTCTGAGTGCGTGTGAGTATATTCACCTGCTGTGGTCATGGTATCCGTACATGCCTGCAGAGTCCCACTGCTCTATCGTGTGGCCTGAGCCCAGACCCCAAAGATCTGAGCAATTACTACAGACACACAGACACACACACAGGACAAGTGCAAAAAGGATAAAAATGAAAGAAAACAGATGGTAAACATGAGGCGTTTCATTCCAAATTAGTAGGATGAAATCACAAACATGTGCAGTTGGTCTCTTATTGGCACGGAGGAGGGAAATGAAATGAACCACCCTCTAGCTTTGCAATAAGAGACACTAACTGGATGGCAGGTGATCATGTGACAAATCCAAATTTGACATACAGTGATGTGGTGCAATCAGGTGATGCAGGGGGGGAGACAGGATTGAATTGTGGCTTCCTCTTGAAACTTTTAGATGAAAGGTGATACCAGATTAATTTATCTTTCAATTCCTCTTTCCTGCTCTAATATGAGATCAAATGACCATTTGTATTTCAGTTGCTCAGCCCGTGTTACGATGAATTCAGGATGAAAACTTTGATTTTCTTGCATGCCTCTGGTAAATGGAGAAAATTCTTGATGAACTTAAGTAAAAGTGGTCTGCTCTCACACAGCTCGTGCTGTATAATCCTAGTCTCATTTTTCCAGTCGTATGCTCAGGATTTACCAAACAGACAGCTCTTTCCAAAGGGGAACTGAACTGAAAGTAAAACTTATATATAGCCCTGTTTCCACTGAGCAGTACGGGACAGTTCAGTTCAGTACGTTTTTTTTTTTTCCGTTTCCACTGTTAAAAGTTGTGGATGGTACCAATGGAACTGCTCTGTACCTCCCCCATTTTTGGTCCCCCTCTGTTGGGGTACCTAGCACACAGATCTGGTACTAAAAGGTGGAGCTATGAGTTGACGACGTGAACCAATCAGCACACCTTAAATTTCACTGTGACAACTCTGACCATTACTTTAGTTGTGAACCGCTTATATTCTAATCCTCACTCGGTGAAAAAAAGCGTCGGAGAGAATGTTGTTCCTATGGGCTACAGCAACACTAAACCCCTGAGCTTGCCTGAGAAGGACTAAATGCACAAAGCTGCTATTTTTAAATATCCCATGGAGAGACACTCTCACTGCAGCCTGTTCTATTTTGTTCTGAAAGCGCTGGCGTGCAGCCTCGTTCTGTGGACGATAAACCAGGTGCAGACTTCCATCTGTGTCACCGGTGATGAGGAAATACCGTGAGTGCTGGACGGAGCAGTGAGTGACAACAACCCCGCCCACATTTAAGAGGACTGTTTGTGGTGGAAACACTAGGGTCTAGGTACCATGTCTGAAGGGTTACTGTTGGTTCCAAAGGTACTATACTGAAAGTGTTTGATGGAAACGGGGCTTATACTCCCTTCAAAGCCAGACTCCATTGACAAAAACAGTCATTTTACATCACTGAACACAGGAGCTGCCTCCATCTGTTTGTGTTATTGTGTGACTTTGGTAAACCTGAAGTAACCTTATAAAACTCCAAAGTCACTGTGTTCAGTGAGGTCAAATTACTGTTTTTGTCAATGGAGTCTGGCTTTGAAGAGAGCACTGATAATCTTCCCTTTAATTTTGGCTCTCTGTTTGGTAAAGTTATCAGCGTACGTCTGGATAAATGAGACTTGGATTATACTGCACAAGTTGTGTGAGAGTTTGTAAACAGATGTTTTGATATAGTTTTGCTTTGCTGGATTCTTTGTTCACTGGAGGCATGCAAGAAAAGCAACATTTTTTTCATGAATTCAGTGTAACACTGGGTGAGGAAGTGATATACAAATTGGTAATGGGGGGTGAAGTATTTCTTAAAAGGTAAATAAGCTCCTGCAGCGCCTGATTGCACAATATATATCTTAATATACACATAGACATGGTTCACATTTCTGCAAATCATTATTAAGACATGAGAAGTGTGATGTGTCTACACAACAATGTGAATGAAGAAATAAAGATGTTTAATAGACTGTACGAAATGTGTCAAGACGTGACAACAGAAAAACCAGATACAACACAAATGTGTGTGTAAACTACACAGTGAGTGTATTAAAACATCCCGACTGCTAACATGATCTCTAAAGCTCTATGGGCATGTTGGATAGGAGAGGAGATTCTGCTGTCTGATCACAGCAAGACCTGTCTGTACAAGACCTGCTATCTCGACACTAATCAGCCTCCTTGAAGAGTTCTACAACTACCAGCCCCGTGTATCTCCAGACACAGCTAATGTCTTGCCTTCTTCTTTTCACACCTCAGGGACACCAGTGTAGTCCCCACAATGTCTGTCAAAAGTCCTTCTTCCTGGCAAGACAACTGAACCTTTCACTAACCTGTAAGTCACTAGCTGTGTTTTCATTTTCATTAAATTGTCAAACAAATTTTAAGCAAACTTTTGGGATGTCACCAAAAAAAGAAACGCAAATTGGACACATTTCTATCAAATAAACTGGGCTCCACAAGTTCACGATATAGACCAGTGGTTTTCAAACTTTCTGTACCCAAGACACACAAAAGGGGAGCCAAAATCTCAAGGCACACCTGTATTTATATCTGCACACAATAGCTTCTATAACGTGTGTTATCACTCTTATCACAACGTAAAAATAAGACAAAATACAACAGGTAGCTTTTGTGATCTCGTCTACTTAAAGTTTTCCCCTCTCTTTTCTTTCTGTGATCGGTCATCCTTGTTGGTGCTTTGTTGTCATTTGCCCCGGACAATAAAGCGATCCATTGTCCCGCTCACAAATGTCATCATCCCTCACACTGGCTGCCAATCAGGGCTTTGATGTGTCACACACTTATACATCCAACGCGCGAACGGCGACAAATAGGTTCCCCATGAAGGTTTTTTAAATTCAAATCAATTAAAATTACATTTTTTAGCTAGAGTTTGCCTCTTTATTAGGAAATGGGTGCACACAACATACTGATTCAGTCAATTAAAAATGTATTCCTAACTTTTTGTATCGGCCCAGTTGAATACAGCAATAATAAGTGTGGTTATCACAAAATCGCACACCATTTGAGAACCACTGGTATAGACTACTCTTCACACATGGCTTTACTGCACAAGTATACAGAGTAGAAGAAGTAAAGGTTGCAAACCGGAAACGAAACAAGTCGCCTTGGCCATCTAACCCATCTACTACAGAAACACAGATAGAGACCTTTGGGAATTTGTTTCAATTTGATCAGTTTTACTTGTTCTTTCATGTCAACCAGCATGTTTCATGCTGTCCAGACACAAAGACAAATTAATGCAATGATACTGTAAGCTATTCTGTTGAGCTGCCTCTTGCCAAGGTGCTCTGAGAAAATTCAAGTTGAGCTGTTGTTGTGAAACATAAAAGCAGGTGGAGAGAAGCTCTGATGTGCTGCCACTGTGGAAAATATTTTAGTGTTGCCGTCTTGGTTTACACTGTTTCAGACTATGTAACCTCAGTTTTTATTTTATTATAAGCATAAGTAAAAATCAGCTACAATTATTATGCATGGGAAGATGCTGACAGCAGAAACAGCTGATCAGTCATGTGAGTTAAATGTTTGCTAAGTCAGAACTTATTCAGCAAAGGTGCTTCCATATCTCGTTTATCCGAACATCTCTTTTTCCTACATAAGCAAAAAACACCTCACGTTTTGCGCAACTGAGGAAGCTTTATACAAAATTGATGTTTCCATACAACTTTTCTGATGCAATACTTCAAAGTGCACATAAGAATATTCTTATGAAAACATGGCTACTGTGGATAAAAGCTAAAAAGTTAGACTTATAAGTTATTTGCAAAACATCATGAGGGTATTTTGACCAATGTATGCCGTTTTTACAGACATGAAATCTTTGTGTATATCAGTGGTCATCCATAAGTAGTTAAAAAGCTACCTGTGCCTTGACTCAGTTGAGCTGTTGCACTCCTCTGTCTCATTTCTTACCTCTACTCAAACACAAATTTACAAAACCTTTAACCTGCTATCTTCTGACAATCCTCCAGACAACTCTCTAACATCCTCCACCACCAAAAAAAGAAAAACAAATGAAACCTTGAAGAGCCAGAGCAATTTATCTTCAGCTTTTATCAACCTTACTTCTGTGTTCAAAGGGAAGTGAGCCGTATATCAAAGGCCTGGCATGCTTTCTGCTGAAAACTACTGAATACTGTCACAGCAGGAGAGCTATTTCAACCAAGCCACTGCCGATCTGTGAAACATTGCATTAAGAAATAACACTTTTCTCCATATATTTCTGACACATATACTTCAGTTTAAACTCACTGATTCCAATGTTTAGCATCAAATAGAGAGAGGACTGCGTTCTTATTGTGGCCTCTAGTTAATTCAAGAACAGCAGGAAACCAAATATTGAAAGATTAATTGCCTTAATTATTGATTGCTTTTGCACAAACCTAAGAAGCAAATCAAACAAGTAGGTGCCATGACTCATCGAGTTGAAAGAACATAAGCCATATGGTCCAAACCCTGAAACACGAGATAACATTTTTCCATCTTGCACCTTTGAAGATTGAAGACAGCGGTAGAATTCAAGTGAATGCCTAACAAGATCCCCTGTCAACTTATCAGCACCACTTCAGAAGCTGCTATCTAGCCTTCATTCCTCAGAGTAAGGAAACACAGAGGCCTGGCGTCTTGGCATCAGACACTCAAGCCTCACATGGTTCCACTTCTGTACTTTTTTACCCATACATTTACAGTATTTCTCCAACTTCCCATTTCCTCAACAAGAACACTTTCAGATATACTGCTCAACATACACTTTAGAACTCTTGTGTTGTTCTAGCACTGCTCTGCTTCATACTTTACTTAACCAAACTCCACAACACTCACACTTTCATACCCCTTTTCGACCGACATGGAACAGGTTCTGTTCCGGTATTTGCCCCTGACTATGGAGCATTTCGACCAAAAATTAAACTAGTGCAAAACCCAGAAAGTTGGTTTCCAACTAGAACCAAAAAGTGGCACATTTTCCTTGACCTGAAGTGCAAACTATGACAACGTCAATGGGCATGTCATATTCTGCAAGTTGGTGAGAGGGTGGAGTCTTGCACGTAATAGTCTTCTACATCTTCTTATCATTAATAGTTGGTCCGGGCTTGGTTTTGAATAAAAACAACAGTTTGTGATAACAGGTTTTCAATGTAGGGCTGCCCCCTAATAGCGGACCAAACGTTAGTCAACGAGAAAGGTTATTAGTCTGCAAGATTTCATTGGTCGCTTAGTCTAATAAAAAAAACAAGTGAAACTCTATTCGGAGCTGTGGCTTGTCAAAATAAATCAGAACTTATTTGACGGGACCATGTGGGAATTTAATGTGAAAAGACAGACACAGGAAGTGGACAAGCTCAGCAGTCAGACAGGAGTCACGTTTCAAACCAATCACAGCCGACAGATATCTTTCCCTTCTTCTGTAAATATTCAGTCTGATAAATACGGAAAGGTTGATCATGTTAGTGCAGGGCTACCCAGAGCTTTACATCTGTCCCACGGACGATAGGCCTACACACTTATAAACAGCACCTGGAAGGAGATCAGCTCAAGATCAGCACAAGAGTAGCACCCTGCGCCCGACCTGCGTTAAAGACGCAGCATGTGTACGGCCTCTAATTTCCAGGGCTGGTTCCTGAAGTTATTCCACAGGCTAGTTAATAACATGTCGGGCAGGAAATCCAAAGTGTGGGATCATTTTGAGAAGGTGAAGGACGAACCCAAGGTGATATGTAAACTCATCTTCATTGGTCGACTACAAACATGACGTATCATCTGAAACATGGAAGTAGCTACATGCCCATTAGCCCACAGCGTCATTAACAGGCAGCTCGCTCAGTGTGTGACATGCACTTGTAGATAAAATATAGGTCTATATTAATGAAGGTTCATTAGTACGGTTTTGTATTTCTCTGTAATGTAGCACAGTGTTAACAATGTTACTGATACTATTCTTTCTCACACCTTCAACTCAAACCACCAAAATATATCATTTAATCATTACATTCATATCAGAAACCTGTTGGCAACTAGTCGATTAATGGCCCTAAATGACGACTTTTGGTCGACTAGGAAAATTCTTAGTTTGGGGGCAGCCCTAAAAAAATGCAATCCCTCATCTCGCTACTACAGATCCCATCCATTGTGTATTAAGCAACACCCTCCGATGAAGATGCATCCTTGATTACGATGGTTCTGCTCATACTGGTGAAAAGGCTGGCTGGTTTGCTAAACAGCACCAAGGTTCCAAGAATCCTGATCCAGTTCAAGAACCAGAGCTCATTTGTTGGAAAAGGGGTATGAGTGAGTTGCTCCACTGAACTGCCCAGCCCTGAGCCAGCACCGATGTTCACACTGGGTCAATTTAATTACTTTGATATTAAGACATATAAGGCAGGAAGTAGCTTCAAGGTGTGAATCTACACAGTATGCATTAAAGCTGCTGCAGAGTGATTAGATCTGCCTGACCTCAGCCAGCAATCCATACAGAGTGCACTGCTGAGAAACCATCCACCCACCAGGAGCATTAACATCTGATAATACTACAGTCACAGAGGATGAATGTTTTCATGATAAAGGAAAGCAAATACGTGCAGTACATTAGCAGCACCTCTGCTAACCCTGAATCTGCCATGTTTATTTTTCTCGCCAGCTCTCCTGCTTCTCACCTGCTTCATAAAGCGTGGGCGAAATGATGTCAATACAATGCTGTAAATGCAAATACACTTTCTGACGGTTACCAGATTTACCTTGTACACAATGTAGGTGGTATTCATGAAGTTTGATTCGGACATTTGTTCCTTTCTGTCTCTGAGGGGCGGACTGGCATTCAGGGTTCAGAAACCATTTATTAAAGAAAAAGCTGCCCTGTTGAAGTGTCTTTGAATGAGACACTAAATCCCCATCAGCTCCAGGTGAGCTCCAGGTGTTGAAGCTAATTTCTCCACTGGGCGAATTCTATTACTGACACTTTATAATCAAAGAAAACTAAGCGAGAAGGAAAGATGAGAGAGGGTAGTTTACATAAAAAATTTGAGAAGCAAAGCTCATAAAATCTTCAGAGAGCAGCACAGTTATCTCCTCTCTCTGCTGACCCTTGCTGGATTGATTGACAATAATCACATGCTCCTCGTGGAGCTCCCCTGACTTTGCCACCTTTGTCACGATAAGGTTTCACCTGGTCTGGTGACTCGGCTCGTGTACCTTGTCATGCGACACAGGAGAAATCTATACTGACAGACACATGACCTGTAAGCATTCAGCTTGAGTATCAGTACTGGCAGGTTTGGGTATGCAGAGGTGCTTTCAGAAAGAAAACACACCTATACAAACTAAGTTTACTTTCAAGGCTCTGTGAAAAGAAATATGAAGATATGCAGTTCAAGGTGCTCCATTTTCAGAGAGTATGTAGAGATGTACAGATATAATTGTGGCTTTGATCCTTCTCCAGAACCTTCACAAAGAATCTGAGGTGATAAAACGACACTCTTCATAATAAATGAATTCTTCACGGCTGCAAAGTGCTTGATGCAGTAATACTTTGTCTCATTATCTCCATCTTAGACTTACATTTTTGTGTTGTTACAGTGCACAACCTCTTCAACCTCCATCATATATAACAGTCTGTATAACTGAGGAGGATGGTGTGTGCACCAGTGCTAAGAACAAATATATAACTCCATCAGCAACCCAACTTGCCTTGTTGTTAAATATTTTCTTTACTAAACCGTACACCTGCCTAACAAATGAACAATTTCCTGTTCTCTGTAGATTTGATCTCCAACTAGAAGTGCACCACCCAAGCTGATTCAGGCACCAAGTAGTTCAACTGTGGCGGTAAAAGTGAAGTAAAGATCTAACCACATTCACACGCAAATGTGGGCCATCAGTTAGACGCACCTGCATCAGAAACAAGCTCCATCCTGCGTTTTTCTCTTTGTTGTAGATGCTTTTTTATGCCAACGAACATTTTTGATCAAAACCATCACAGTATCTACACAAACCTCATTTGCAGAATGAGTGATACTGATATTGATCAACATAATGGGATGAAAGGCAAGACTGAAGTTTTGTTGCTACAAAGGAGCACGGCGGAGGTGCACTCAGAGCCTGTCACACTCCCTGCGACTCAAAATAGAGCACGCCGTCAACGGCCTTGTGCAAAACACAAATGCACAGACACATCCTATGCGTACCGATGCTCACAAAGTTTACGAAGCCCGGTTGGCATCATGTGTCAGACATGTGTTTCCTCCGATCCGGTTTCACTTCTGCTGCCTCGCTAACCTGTGGCACAGCGAAATGAGGAAGCGGACCCGCTGTTGCACAACAGAGACTTTTCTTTTCTGCAAGGCTGTGGTCGCCTGGCACACTTTCATGTGTGTTAGCATACCTCGCTCTGATGATCTGTATTGGTGTTATTGTGGTATACCAGTGCACAGAGACTGGGGAAGTGTGATTTTTGTGAACGTGAGCATAAATTGAAGTGTGAAGTGTCAAGTTTTTTGGATAATCAATTGAAAATGTGGCACATTTGATGCTTGGAGATTCTTTAGAAAGTCTGTCTTGGTTATATCCATATGTTTGTGTGCGCACTATGACCACAACCATGTGCAATCATATACAAGACGGAGCCAGACAGAGATAGAGCTACAGGATGTATGTGTGTCCTCATCTCACCTGGGTATAGTGACACACTTTGTGTTGCTGTTCTGCGTGCTGATGGCTTTCTCCAGCTCATCCAGCTGCCCGGTCTTCTTCAGCTTCTTCACCAAGCTCTTCACGGCCTTCTCGCACCACTTCTCCTCCTGTCCTCCCCCGTTCTGCTCACCCACTCCTCCGATGCCTCCTCCGGCTCCTCCGCTCCCCGCTGGAGTCTTCTTCCATCCCAGGAGACGCTTCACTACAGGGGGAGTGAAGGGAAGGATGGAGGACATGGTGGCTTGTGTATGTAACGTGTGTGTTTGTGAATCCTAAGTGTGTTTTGATGCCCCTCTTAATCTGGTGTAAAGGGAAAAGGGGGGAGGGGGAAAAGGGTGATACAGGTGATATGTTGTTGTTTGAATTCCTACTGGAGATTTTGAACTATATATTCAGAATATATGTGTGTATTTTTTAATTAATATCTAGTCAGTCTTGGGAAACATCAGATGGAAATTAGGGAGCGAGAGGAGTTCATCCGAGAAAACCTAAGAACAGGAGAAAGCACACATCAACACCTGCAAACACACAAGTTCAGAAGATGAAACTGCATATCATATTTTTCTGAAATGATGACATCAATTATACCCACACATCCAGATTCATGAACAGCTTTTTGCCAAGACCCATATCTATCAAAGCCCCCCTGCTGCTCACTCTCCCACTATGTACAGTACTGTGTGCATCAGCCAGACTGACAGTCGTAGCACTACACTTCCTGCATACCGTTCTGAAGCATTAACTCATTCTGTTTCATATTCAGCGTTAGTTTCTCTGTAGGTCAACCCCCCATAAATATACTCTGCTGCTGGTGCACTTGCACAGTACTACAGCTACGTTCTGAAGCTGTACAATTAATCAAAATATTATCAAAATTGCAGTATGGCCAATTGCATGCATATGGCTATTTGCAGAAACAGGTCGCCATCTTGCTGAACCACCTGAACTCATTTACAACCTTAAACACAGAGATCTATTTTCAGGGGTGTGTTTATTGATACTTGGCAATCCTTGCTTACATACTGCACGTCTTACCAGAATTTGGACACATATTAAACATTATAGATAGCATGTAAAGATACACTGCATTCAGTTTGACTTATCTCAATTTCAATGACTATTTTGGTAATGTAATTAGGGCCGGGCAACATTTCTATATCATGATTAGAGCCGCAACAACCGAAAGAAAACTAATCGCCAACTATTTTGCTAAACAATGAATTCTTTCAGTCATTTTTCAAGCAAAAATGTCAAACATTTGCTGTTTCCAGCTTTTTAAATGTGACAATTTGCTGCTTTTCTTTGTCATTTATTGTAGTACATAAAGAGTTTGGGGGTTTTGGACTGTTGATTTGACAGAAGAAGTAAACTGGAGATGTCACTTTGGGCTCTGGGAAATTTTTATGAGCATATTTCACTTCTTTTTTTTACAGACTAATGATTAACCTTGAAAACAACGAGTAGATTAGTTGATAATGAACATAATCATTAGTTGCAGCCCTAGTCGTGATATGAGACTATATATCGTCTTAGAGTTTTGATATCGTAGTATCGAAAGTGTCGTCTTTTCCAGGTTTTGAACGCTGTATTACAGTAAATTATTGTAATGTTTTTGACTCAACAGACTGTTCTAGCTGCTTGATTATTAACTTTACTCACTTAGTCATAATGTAAACTTACTGATGATCAAATTGTATCCGCGGCTCCCAATGTCACTACAAAAACCTTTGGGGATGCTTCGTTTAGCTGCTATGCCCCAAAAATACAGAACACCCCGTCTTTAAATATCAGACTTGCTGGCTCAGTGGACAGTTTTAAACAACAACTCAAACATATCTTTTTAATATAGCCTGTAACTATCAGCTTTCTGTTTTAATATTCTTAATATGTTTGTATGTATGTATTTTTTATTACTTGATTAATTATTGATTGATACATTTGTTTATTCTTCTCCTGTCTCCTTGAACGAGTGTTGTGTAATTTAATTTTTTTTGCTGTTTGTCTCTGCCGTCTGAATTGTAAAGCACTTTGGGCTGCATTCTGTGCATGAAGGGTGCTATATGAGTTCATTTATTCATTCATTCATTGTGCCAACAATCACTCCCACAATACTGTTGTAATATGGACATCTGATTATCTTCATATTGCCTGGTCCTACATGTCATAAAGACCAGCACTGAATTGATACAGCTACATTTCTGAAAACTTAAGTGATGATTTTACAAAACACATTTTTTAAATAGTTGTTACGTGGGACAAATGTATATAAAACACATCATCAAGCAGCATTTCTCCACATATACTGGACTGTCAGATTAAACGCCAGTTACTAAACCTCACAGACACTGTTCATTCAGCTGTAGGTCGACACAAATCATTCGAAAACTTTCTCAATTTTACTCCAAATGTCAGAGAGTGTGGATGATCCTGTGTCACATAATCTGGTTTCTTTTCTATATTTACTCAACCTTTAAAATCTCATTGAACACAAAGGAATTTCTAATCATGTTCACACACTGTTTCACAGAGAACAGAGAAATTTGTGTATGAGGTGACAACCCCATGTCAATATCTGCACTAATCCCGTGCTAATCCCATAGTAAACCTATCCTTATATCAAAACCAGTGTTCAGCCTCTAATACTACAGATTAAGAGTGTCACACTGTGTTAGAGCCTGGTCAGGAGCAGGTGAGCAATTCACTGATTTGAAATGAATACCAGATGGGCAAAGATGAATTCAACAGTCACAACACACAGGAAACAGCCAATTATGAGCACTGACATGACTTTATCTTATATTATAGCTATTGTTTTATTGCCAAGATCCATTTTCCAGGGAGTTACAAATGACTTACACTAAATTTGAAGACCAAATCTTTTTTCTATGAGTCCAGTCCTCTCAAAACAGTCACATTTGTCGTGTGTAGATAAGTGCAGCAGATCATTGATCAGCTAGACTTAAATAAATACAGATAACACCACTCAGCGATGCAGATTTCTCTTTTTAGCTGTCTGGAAGGAAGGGATAACTGTCCTTAGCATGGTACTCTGAAAGTCCAAGCTCCTTCTAAGAATTAATTTCACAGGCTTAACCCTTGGACTGCTTCCTATTAGTGCACCAGTATGTATGGCTTGCAGAGCGAGCCCTGAAAATAATTAACTACAATCTTGCAGTTGCTTGATGTTGTCTAAACATGCAGGCATGCTGTGCATTAAGGCCAGGATACAGCTCTGATGCCAGAATAAGAGAAAAATACACAACGTGGGAGTGAAATGTTTCAGGTTTGTCACCTTGATTGGGGTCAATGGAAAGTGATTATTTGGCAAAATTAAGCTTGGCTTGAGTGTAAGATTGTGGGTGTTCATTTTGACACACAAAGGAGGAGGGATAAACTCATTAACCTTAGCTGATGTGGGAGGCTTTCAAACTGGACACAAAGTCTACTGTAAGGAACAATAAGCACAAACGTGTTGTGCTCACAATGTAAACGTCTAGCCAAAATGCTGACCGTAGCGATCAGGGCCTTGTGGGCAACATAAGCAACGTTATTCTGTCTGCAGCGGCTCGTTTTGTTTTTTAGGAGAAACTGTCTGTTTGGGTTTCTTCTTCTTCTTCTTCTCCGACACCGTCCACATAACACACACACGAAGAAGAATAAGCTAACGCTACTAACGTCGATTCAGACTCAACAACCAGTGCGTGTAGACTTTGTCAAGCCACAAAAAGCGACTTCATATCACCCCCGGGTGTCATTTGCTGTGTCAGCGACACATACAGTGAAAACATTCGGGTTTCTTTTGTCTCGAAATGACTGATAGCCCCCCACCTCTCTCCTCCTCCCCTCGCCTCCTAAAAAAAGAGTCCGAAAAAATCCGCTAGCAAGCTTGCTACTTTGTGTCACACAGACAAATAAACAGGTCTGTTGCATGTTTTGTCGCGTACAAATCAAACCCGTTTCTGGGTTTAAAACACACTTACCCGACGAGGAGGTGAACGGGCGCCGAACGGTCACTCGGGTATCTGTCAGCAGAGCCTGCTTGTTCATTTTAAAACGCATCCAGAGACACTTTAAACTGTATTTTCCACCTCCGAGCCGCCGGGATGATGGCCCCTCATTCAAAGCTCAACCTAACATGTATCGCTTCACGCTACATGAGCGGCAGAGCGAGGCGGCCGCGCCCCGCCTCCTCTCGCTTCCCATTGGCTGATTCCCGGGGTTCAGGCGATAACCTGTTGCCAGACGGGCGTTCTATTGGCTGGAGGTCGTGTCAATCATTTGTTGTTACGTACGAAGGTAAAGCGGTGATGTTTATCAGTGGGAACCTTGATTGTCCTTTTACAATGGCAGAAAAACTCACCCTCACCATATGAATAGAATAGAATAGAATACAAAGACACATCTCACAGATAGAAAAAAACTAGATATCTTTTCAACGGTTTCCTTTTAAAAAAAAATCCTCTATTTCTATTTAGCAATATTTCATTTATTTGTTTTATTTTTATTTGATGGATTTTTATTTTTATTTTATTTTCTATATGTATTTATAATTTTTAAAATTATATTTATTTATTTATTTTTGTCTTACTGTTGTAATTTTCTAGTCTTGCAGTACCTTATCTATAGTTGTCTGTGGTGTCCTTTAAACTGTGTTTGTGTCCTTTGAATTTTGTTATGTGAAGCACTTTGGGCTGCATGTTTGTATGACAGGTGTGATATAAATAAAGTTAAGTTGAGTTGAAGATGAAAAAATAAAGGAAACCATGCAAATTATGACAAACACGGAAAGGTCACTATAAGGGACTGTACTTTATTTATCAGAGGAGGGGATGACTGGGATGTAACTTCCTTTTTATTTTTTTTTTCTTGACCCAAACTAATGTATTGAAGGACCACTGGACATTAAAAAATTCGACAATGATTTGTTTTTACAGTTTCTGCTCATGGTGAATAATGTGATTATGGTGATTTGCCTTTCAAACCCTTTGCCAGGATTCAGCATTCAGAGGGTACTTAACCCGTTAAAAACCCTTTAAAAGTGGACCTCCCACAGGAGATTGTTGTTTGCATGATCCTGTTCAAAGTACATTTAAAATAAGAACCATGCTAGCTAGAGCATTCTTTTTGCAGCAGCAGGAAGCAAAGGCTCCTGTCAACCTCATCATGTCCTGATCATTGCATCATGACCTTACGTGACCTTACCTTACATGCTGTGCAAACGTGGTATTTCGGCATAAATATGCCAGGGTTTTCATATAATGGCTGTGGGAGATTGCTGTTTCCATAATCCTGTGTGTATATCGATCTAAAACAGAAACTGTAACAAACAAGCATTCATTCGTTTTGCAGCAGAAAGCTAAGGCTTCTGTCTTCCCCATCATTACATCATGACCTTACGTTACCTTACCTAACATGCCATGCACATTGCTGCGGGAGATTGCTATTTCCATATACACATACATATA